ATATATATATATATATATATATATATATATATATATTATAATATATAATTTTTCATTATTTATTTTAAATTTCCTCTTTTATTTAAAAATATATAATTGAATTATATATTAGATATATATTAATTTGATCATGAATTATAATTATATAATACATTTATTTATATATGAAACAATTCTATTTTAAAAACGTATGAATTGTTGCTCTATTTGCAGGTTTGTGATTTTCAAACCACAGACTCGAGACTGCTGTCCCTGTCAAATTTGAGGTAAGGTGGGTTAAATGAGGAGAAGCTCTGAGCGAGCTCAAGCCCACACAGCCGAAATCGAGGTATTTTTAGATTTAGCGGAGGGTGCAAACGTCCAGCTTCATTGTCAGATCAAAGCCGCCACTTGTGGCACTCCTGGCAGAACACTGATGTATTTTAAGGGAAACATGATGACAAATGTTATATTTACGCCCTTGATCTAAATATTTACATATTTCCAGTTTCCCCCACACAACTCGTCACCGCCCGCTCATTCACGATCCTCCCGTTTTAGCAGCAGGAGTCCGGAGCATCCTGAGTGTGGCGAAGGTAGGATTATCGCTGCACATCGCAGTACATCGTGTTGTTCATGAATAGGAGCTTCTCTTCATTCATACACTCGTAGCTAACATGCCAGAGCGATGAAATTGTCTACGTGTGTTTACTATTGTTTAAACAGCCTTTGCGTGTATGAAACGTATTTAAAGTTAGTGTCTGAGGGAAAACACTGCATAAAGCTTGATGCGATAGTCGAGTCTATATTTCAGCACCACGGACAGCGACACCCCAGTCGCAAAAAACGAAACAAAAAAAAACAACAACTCTGCGTGACTTTTGCCATGTTTTTGATGATCACAATAAGTAATTTAATACATAAAGACACAAAAAGTAAAATTCTGTTATAAGTAGATTTTCAGATCAGTTTTAAGTGAACAGCGCTAGTTTTAGCAACTCTCGAATGGAGTTTGGCGACACCATGCGGCAAGACGCTCAATTTCTTCCCCCGTATGTTTCTACCGCACTGGTCAAATTAGCGTACTTTGTGTTCTGCACGTTCTCTTTTAGTGTTATGCTTTGCAATTCGACAGCTTTAGACTTTCTGTGACTATTGCACTGTCGTTTATAACATCACATCGATTTAAAGCGGAGACCGAAAATATTTTATATAATTTTCGCTTTATATAAACAAGGCATCCCCAACTTTTCTCCCTTAATGCTCCCCCTAAACAAAACCACAACAAGCCCAAAGCAATTACCAGGCTTAAAGAACATATAAAGGCTAGTGGTGCGCGTCTGCCACAGAATCCATTGCCAAATGAGTTTTTCACGATGCCTGGCGACTGCAAGGAGTGGTTTCGCTCTGGGAAACCGGGGCTGTGGTCACTTGCAGCGCGGACACTGTCCGTCTTTCACCTATTTAGCCCGAGCCATTTTCATTAACGCGAGGCTGTCTGCGAGCACAACAGGGACGGTTGTAATCAGCAGCCATAGACTGTGAAGTGGGAGAACCTAAACGTGACGTCAATGCCTAGTAACTGGCGCAGCCCTCAAAAAAGAGAGATTCTGCAAGCGTTAATTATCATCGTTTGTGTACTGCTGTAAAGACAAAACATATTTCGCTCGCAGTGCAACTGATTACTGTTGTTTGCGCGCGCGGGTCCGTCTGTGTGAGTGTGAGTGTGTGCGTGCGTGTGTTTTCTTTATGAGCAGCGAATCCGTCCCGAGTTTCCAAGCGAAAGTTGCATGGAGACACGCCGCGTAATACGCGTATAATAAAGAGGATGGTGAGCAACATAAACGAACGAGGAGAGCGGGAACAACTTGTGCTGAGAAAGCGAACGTTTAAGAAATATTTAGCCCATAAGAGAGAGGGGCACTGAAGCAGTTCGTTTGGGGGGGGAAATCACTGCAGCGATGCATCGGAGGCGAGTCGGAGCCCTTGCATGGAGTTGGAGAGGCAAAATTAATGTACATTACATGCACTCCACGTAACGCTCCTGAGCGATGTCTTTGTGAGTGTTTTTTTTTTCTTACTGGGCGCTAAAAATAGCATCAGTGTTTGATCGTGGTCCAGAAATAGGCAGAGGGTATCACTTGTATAAAAAGGGACTGCGATTCTGAGAAAACTTGGACGTGTTGCTGAAGATAGAGATGAATCAAGGGCAGTATTTGATTTTCGTCTTGCTTGTTGTTTTTGGTCACATATGATGGTTTTATACTCATGTCTGTGTTTTCCCTGCTTTCAGCCAGGGCTTCCTGCACTGGTAAGTACACATTCGCGACGATTTCTTTGGTTCGTTGACATGTTTATTTGATTTCTTGCACGATTTCTTGCATGCATTAAGGTGCCATTCCCTCCACCGAACACAATCCATTTGTTTCACGCATACTGTGTGCACTTCTCAAACAGGTGCTTTGTTGTTTTCACTCACTTGTTAAAAATGAAATAAACCACTCTCTCTTCAGACCAGGAATCTCGCGAATGGTAAATAAGTGAAATCCAAACTCCTTTGTCTGACGGCGCTGTTGAGCCGTTTTTTGCCTCTTCGCTACAGCTGAAAGTGTGAATGGAAAGCGATAACACTAGAAGAGTGAGGGGACATATCTCTCAAAATATGTGAAGAGGAAAATAGGCTAATAAATATAGGTGGAAGACGCCGCGCCAAAAGGAAAATCACCAGCAACAGCCGACGAGGGAAGCCCTGGTGTGGCGTCAAGGGGTTCCGTGCATCCAAAATCGCCCTTAAATGGTCAGCCCTGTTTTGGCCATCACCTGTGAAAGGGATGCCACTCGGCACACGTTCTCAAAATGCAGCTTAAGTTTTTTTTGTGCAATGTTCCCGCGTGCGTTGTTTGAACACTTCCATCAGATGTGCTCGAGACTGTGTAGCTATAGGCGGATTCACATGGATTACTCTTCCGCCCACGTCATTTTCATTATACAGTACTGCAATCGACTGTTTTCTATTGCTGTGGACTATAATACTGGTTTTGTGCCAAGACTAACGCGTTTGTGCAGTTGCGCAAAACAATCACGTTGTGATCGCCAGTGTTGTTTTAATCAAAGCATCTCTTAATAAATGTCTAATTTCAATCCTGCAGCGTGCATAATTGCCTTAAGCGTTCGCAGACAGTATATTTCGAATTGTTTCAGAGGGTTTAAATGGTCATGTGCATGTATGCAAAAGCAAAATTTACAATACTTAAAACCGTACATGCCAGAGTAGCGAGTCTAGGAATGACCGCGGATCTTTGCAGAAAAAACTCATTACCTTGACCTTTTCAAAGACACTGTGGCTCTCTATACACCTATCCCAGACATAGCAAGATCTTCTTAAGTCAATGCTGGCGTTGTAATTTGAGTGGAAACATGGTTTTATCCGAGTCGTGACTGCTATAGTGAGTAATATGTGCGCGTTGGCTGCGTCAGGAGATGCAGTCGCTGTGCGGTGCAGACAGAAGGGGGAGAATCGTGACTGACTGGAGACGTCCGCGAATGATTCGTCCACCAAATAAAATCCTCATAATGGTGGCATCTGGGCTCGATTTTGTTTTTCTTTTTTTGTTTTTACACCTGTTACATCTCAAGCCATATCTCTTTTGCCTAGCCACCTTAACCTCCCCTTGCACCACGAAGGCGTAAGAAGAATATCAGTGATTAAGGGGAAGGGAGGGGGAGATCTTGGTTCGGGATGAATTTAGAATTTAAGGGGGGGCACTTCGTATAGTTTCTTGCATAGTTCCAAAAAGATCCACTCTTTAACAATTTTGACAAATGTTCGCGTTGGATGCAAGAAAAGAACTTCACGGGTAAGTGAATGAAGTCACATTCCACAGCTGGATTGAGTTTATGGCCAAAATATATGCCAGAGGGATCCCATTTTTGCTGTGTTGTCATGCCATTATTAATTGTTTCCCTCAAGGTATGAGAAATGTTGATGCTGTTGATGCCTTTACAAAATGTTGTTGTTGTTGTTGTTGTAAAGTTGGATCTAGAACATTTATGTAACGTTCTTCTGATGCCAATCGCTTAGTAACGCACCATTGTTTTGTTTGTTGTGCCTGCAGGCGATGATGCAACTGTAATGTATAGAATTTGTTATGTTCTGCTGATAGTTTAGAGACCCCCGTGTCCTCACTGAGTGGTATCAGCCAGTGAACTCTCTGTGGTCATGCAATGAAATTGCCTCAGAAGCCTGTCATGTTGTTGTCGTCGTGCTGGCGATGTGCTGCTTTGTTTTACATGCACGTTAGAACCCGACGCCTCCAAAATGTTAGTCGTTTAAAAAAAAAAACGACCCTATAATGTCTGTTTTGAATGGATACGTGAGGATGTACTTGCAGACATGAATGCACGCCACCCCGACATGGTGTGCGAGAGACGTAGCAACCCGTTTTGAAACGTGACATGGCGAACGAATTCGGCTTCAAAACAGAAAAGGATAAAAACATTTAATGTTATTGTACTGAATATTTTTGGTCACTTGCGCCAACTAGGATACAATTTGGTTTCCCCTTTCTTTCTTTTTTCTCTTTTTTTTCAAAAAGGGGGGTCCCTATATGAGCAAGAAACCGATTGGTGGATGACGATTTTTTGTTTGCGCCAATAAGATCTCTCGCTGCTCTCTATTTATTGCGAGCAGATTACAGACTGCTCTCTCCTCACCAAGAGCGCTTCATCTGCTCAGTTCTCCGGCATCACGAAACAGAGGATGTATTTCATAGTAGCAACAAAACGGCGAGGCGAAAAGAAACGAGCTCAATGGTCGTTCAGTCATATGCGTGTCTTTGTTTAGATGCAATAATCGCAGCGCACGTCGGTAGGCACTAGAAAAGCCAGCGAAAATAAACTACTGGTAAGGAGTGAATTCAGCACCGCGGACAGCGCTCGCACGCAGAATACAGGCATTTGGATGCTGGCTGCTCTCAAAGCTTCCCATGCTCGTAGAATGTGAATGAGTTGGATACAGTTCAGCCACGGAAAAGGGCTTCGCGGTCTCGCTTTTCCCGATGTCTGGACACAATAGGATTGGGAAACCAGAGCCATGCACAAGCCACCTGGATGTCACTGTTTGATGTCACGGACTTCAGACTGCGATTTGTCTTTCGCGAATCTTTTTGCGGTCTGGGCTTGCTGTTCATAAGTATCTAGCTGGGAAGCCCTTACCCCAAAAAGCATTTGCGGAAGGCGCATTCACCGATTGATTCTCCATACACTGCCTGGATTAAATGCTTGCATTATTATTGTTATAATTATTATTACTGTATTTATTTTTTTACAAACACTTTGTTAATTTTTTTCCCCAAAAAATATGTCATCACTGTATTGCGGCTCAAATGTAAAGCCGAACTTCTCTCCCACTTACGTCCCCAAAGTCTAAGATCCCTCCCTGTCGAGAATTATCTGGCGTCTCCGTTGCCAGAATATTTTCTCTCGTTTATACGATTACAAAAAGTCACCCAAACAAAACCACAGTTCCACCAACGAGCCTCCCAGTTTGCACGTGGGGAAACACAGTGGTCCATTCGGGGAAGAGAGCGAGAGAGAGGGGGGCATCTCGTTAGTGTGCTATTTCACTTAGAAGCCAAACAATGTTGAAATGACCCCACCCTGTTCGCAATAACATATAAGCTGTATAACACTGCCAGACGCAGTTATAGTTCTACACAGGTTTAAAATGTAAATATCAGCCCATTGACAGAGTGCCAGTGTGTGTGTGTGTGTGTGTGTGTGTGTGTGTGTGTGTGTGTGTGTGTGTGTGAGAGAACACGTCACCGTAGGTGCCCAAAGACAACAAGGTTTCACCCAACCTCCTCGGCTTCATTTCTTTTATTTCTTTTCTTTTTATTTCTTTTTACACACCCTCGTTCCTTCCCTCACACGCACACGCACACACACACACACACACACACAGTATTTTGGAAATATGACACCTCGATGAAATATGACACACCTACGCACACCCAGGATATAACATGTAGACACATTGGGTGATAAAGTTTTTATGCCATGCAGATACAGTCCACTGAGAAATTCTCAGCAACTGAGAAGTGACGTGATCCGTGTCACTACCATCTTCAAGGCAGGTCCCCCAAGTACCTCATAAGTCATTTCCCGTTTTCGGTGACACTCACCTGTCCCCTGGCCTATATGCAGGAGGAAGTGCAAACACAAATGCCCCTATTATAAGCTACAGTATCTGGAAAAGGCTCCAAAGTCCCTTAGTGACGACAACCCTAAATTCCTTCAGGTCAGACTAACATTCATTTCGTCTCAACCGTATGTGTTCCCTCACACATTATTGCATTATAAGAAAGATGCATTGCCTTTGATTATATGGTTATACAATTAGAGCAATTAAAAATGACGTGGAGAAGAGGTCCTCCTGAAACTGGTTAAGAAATATTAGAAAACTTTAAGGAGTTTTGCATATCACGTAGCCTAGTTTTTTCTTCTGATAAGCAAAAAGGCCTGAAAAAGTTGTTCGTATACTTAAAGAAAATTAGTTCGACGTTATAGTGAAACTTTACAAAACCCTTATACTAAAAATCCTCTTTGCTGATAGCTAAACTGTAAAAGGCAATAATGTAAGTGTTCGTTTTGAATTTATTAAAGTGATTCGCTTGATGCTCACTCAAAAGAAGCAAGCAGAGACGGAAGGTTGATTTACAGGTGTTAGGATGAAAAAACGCTGATTTTGGTGGTTTAATAAACTTAAATCATTATATCATATTTGACTGCAAGAATCCCTGATTAAATGGGGGTTACAAATATTATAATACTGTATAAACCGCATCAGGAGGAAGCTCCTACGCCATACGTGCATCGTGAAAAGCTTTTCTTTATTTTGCTTAAACAGCATGTTTATTTATGTTCATTTAACTTATACCAATAGTTTTATCATTTCTACTCGATTCTGCAAAAGGGGCTATATTCCGAGTGGTCAAAAAGTGCAATAAACTTTTCTCAGCTAATAAATTAAGCCAGCGATTACTGTTAAGTTTTAAAGTTTACAGGCTAGATTGTTTTGATTGACATGTGTACTGTCTAAACGCTTTTCTGGTGTGCGTCACGTTAGTGAGTGAATCGTATTCTCGTGCTCTGCGTATCCAAACTTGTTTGAAAAGTGCACCAAACGTGTTTTTGCGTGGACAGAATGGCACGATGTAGCTGCAAAAGGCTTTCCTTTCTCTCATTTGTTTTTCGCCCCATTATCTACTGTTCCCAACTTTTTACAACTCACTGTTCACCAAACATGCCTTCTATATTTCCCAGAAGATGTTAAACTGCTCAGACGTGCGCATTTAAACGATCCCACTGTTATTTATGTACAACTTTGTGTTCTTGCGTTTGTGCACAGGGCAGGACAAAACTTGAGGCATCCATCGTGTCAAGTACGGAGGGAGAAATGAACGGCTCGACATCGAATCACAGAACGTTCCCAAATGGGGTTGCTTGTGACGTCACTGTCTTCGTAAGTTCATTCTTTCCGTCACACTCACAGCCCTTTGCGAGAGCGGCCTCTGTTTATGTCATTGTCTGTCATTAAGCGTTTGAAACTGCAGCAGGGGACAGGATTTTTTTGTAGATTACTCAGTATTACAAGGTTTTAAGCGTTGAAGGTTTTCTTCATAAGTTTTCGTCTTAAGTGCTCCGGATGCAGTTTTTACAGTTAAACAGTCTGAAAGTTACTAAAGTGTGGCACCCTATATAGTGTGCATCAGGCAGGGGCGATTCTATGGGGGGCCAGACAGGGGCCACTTGTGTTTTTAGGGGGCACAATTTTAAAATTCATCTTAACCTACTTTAAGTATTATCCATTCAGTCATTTTTCACCGTCATGTATCACTGCAATCTCTAGAAGTAATCTATAACAATTTCAACTAAAATGAAAGTTTCATCATGTTTCATTTATTTGACAAATAATTTTGTATTGTAGTGTCATTTTTGAGGGGCACGAGTGAGGGGGGGGGGGGTGGCTCTCATGCTTGTCATGTGACACACAGCAGCCCAATACCACTGTACAACTGATATAGTGATATAGCTTATGTCCCTACTGAAAAAAACAAACAATAAAACCATCACAGAACATTTTAATGGTTTCCACAATAAATATCATTACAAACCATTAACTTTTCACCATTAAAACCTTTAAAAATGTTTTCTGTAGTGTGTTTTGGGACATATTCCATTAGGATTTATTGGTTTTAACAAGCCACCAATAGAAGGCAACCAATTACCAGTAGAGACCAACAGGGTCCATTACAGTTTTCAGTAAAACCAATACAAGTCCCATTATAACCCGTAAAACCATTACAAATTTTGTAATGGTGTCTATTGTTTTTTTCAGCAGGGGTTTTGTTATAATTTTTTTTTAAATTAAAAATATTCCCAGAATATATCATGAAATATCTCGATTCTCAAATATGTGTAAGTAAATGCATTTTGCACCTTTATAGATTATGTTAGTTGATCTATAATGGGCGATGGGCAAAGTAGCCTAATAGTGTAATCTATTAACTTTGCATAAAAATCCGTCTTTTTACTTAAGTACCAGATATGGGTGACATAAAATATTTTTAATATGACTGACTTTGTATTTAATGTCAATGTAATAAAATCATTGCAAGTTACTAATTAGCCTATAACACTTTCATTGTACAAAAAGAGATCAAAGAACGTTTACATTATCAAAGAACATTTTCACTTCAGTCCAGCGAGTTCAAGCACTCTCAAAAAGTCCCATAATAATCTCTAAAGCTGTTTACACTGTGAAATGAATATCTTACTTACATTCGTACAGCTTCACTTTCTTGTTTCTGATGAGAGAATTAGCCAGAGAATTCAGTCAGCCAGCACGTGACGAAACGTGTTTCAGCGATGACTCATCTGAACGCCTCTGATTGGTCCTTGCATTCATAATCTCAACAGAATCGTATGTGATTGGTTATAATGCGCAGTGCTTTTAAAAACGTGTCTCCAGCCAGCGAACGCAAATTTTAGAATTTAGCAGCTGGTGATGTTTTTCTTTTATATATATATATATATCTATATGTGTGTGTGTGTGTGTGTGTGTGTGTGCCCACCCCCCACCCCCCCAGAACCGCCCATGACATCAGGACAATTACATGGTCATTTAAAAGTCATTCTTTTAGTTTAACTTGTAAGAATTATAAGTTTTGATAGAAAAGCTTATGAAGACTTGTATTGGTATTGCTTGTTATGGAAAATACAGCATGTTTTTTTCTGTAGTGAATTGGATCACTGCTCTGGTTCATGTTATATATTTATGCTTAATACACCTTAAATATTTATTGCACACTTAGCTAGAAAGCAAATACATTCTCACAAGTATAACTGTACTTGATATGTGCATAAACACATACACACACACGCACTGATTTCATATCTGTATGCGTATGTAGATAGCTTTAAAAATAAAAATATTTCAGTGTTTTTTAAGTATACAACAAAAGGCCCTAAAATATTTGGGAATTTTTGTGTATGTTTTCAGTTCTCCTTGCATGCTGATACTTATATTACACAGACTTGTATTGCCTTAGTCTTAAGTGAAATGACCACTGAAGTTATATGAGCGTTCAATTTGAGCTGCAAAATATAAAAAAGAGTTAAAGATCTTTGTGTGTGATTTTCAACAGTATTTTAACAGCATTGCTCATTGCAGGTTGGTTTAGAATAATATGCAAGGATTCAAGCATTGTTTGTTTAAACTGAAAAAATATAAATGTATCATAAAAATATTTATCACCGACAAAGTAAGGGGCAGTTATTAACACAGGCTGAACGGTACGACAGACTCTAGAAGATAAAATTAGCCAAGCTTTTTTTTCTGTCTTTCTTTTTAAGAAGAAAGTATTCACAGTATTGTCTGATTTGGTTTTTAAACACTATAAACTTTTTAAACCTCCCAGCAGAAATTTCACGACATGACGTTGAGATGCTGACAAACAATCTGAGAAAAAGAGTTTTAATACAGATTTTGAAAGGAATAGTTACAGATTACTGTACTATATAATCATAAATACTTTTCTGTATATAAATCATATTTAAAAGAAAATATATTAAATTTTTTAGTGAAGCTAGAGATGGATTGCAGCACTGGCTACGATGGGCTATTTTCATTTAACAGTTTATTTAAATTGCAGATTTAAACACTTATCAAAATCAATATTTTTGTTATAATAGCTCATGTTTATATATATTGTTTTTTTATACCTGTAGTCTGAGACTTGAGATGCGTTCAGATCTCACCAGCACTAGACGTAGCTACTTTTTTTTTCTCAGAGAGAGACTTTAGTCATGGCTATACTGTATGAGTTTTATATGTCTCTCCCTTTTAAGAATTAATTCAAACAAACACATTTATTGATAACATAGCAATGGGTTTCTTAAATGATTAACTGGGTGAGCAAAAGACGTCACCCGGTTTTCTCACCCAGTCACTTTTAGCTTATTTAAGATGCACGTCTCCAAGAAAAGGCCCTATTGTTCAATGTTAGATTTAACTTGTGTTTGTTTTTTTAAACTAATAATATGCAATTTTTATTTATTTATTTTTTTAATTCTCTACTTTATCTAAACGGTATTGAGTTATTTTTAACACTCACAAATTCATGTTAAACTATTAATAACCACAATCTAAATTAAACTGAAAAGCATCCCAAACAAATAATTTATAACTTCCATTACCTATTATGATTAAAAATCTGATGTTGCAGTTATTAAACGCGTTTTTTGTCATGGAGCACACTGTTTTTTCATGTTGTTCACTGTTTTACCCTTTTTTCTCCTCAGCTCATCCCCTCTGGTCTCTCTCAACGTATTATTTTTCAGTCTGAGGAGGACATGTCGTGTCAAAAATATGTTCTTTAATCTCCTCACATTTCATTATGATACACCAAATAACATTTAAAGCCTTTTCACCTTATTCTTCGACTTTCCTAAATTGTTTGCAAAATGACATGATGTAGATTTTAAACTTTAACCGTCATTTTAATCAGTCCACAGGAACAGGATACCAACATTAACCTGCTGTAATAACAAATAACATGGAGTAACAAGAGGAATATTTGCATATGTTCCCTCTTTGCTCACATTCCCTCTATCCATACATGGATGAGTCAGGGAAGGTGTGAGGGATGAGTCAGTTCCGGGCGGAATTTTTAGGGAAAGGGAGTGTCTGCTTGTTCCTAAGAGGGTGGTCCCATCATGCGAACATGGCATGACCTCACTGCCGCAGAAATACCCGTTCACGCATTAATGTGCTCTCTACATAACCAGTGCAAAAGCAGATCATATTTGTGTATACATACTCCCAGTTAATTCCAGCTTTTAAATATAATCTTTTGGTAAAATACATGATTTAAATGTGAGTATGAAGTTTTCAGTTACCTAAACATCACTAAATGGCACCAAACAAATGACTTTTCATTAAAAAAAAGCTTACGTCTATTAAAATTCGGCTCTTCTTAAACATATCTCTCACTATGATGAAACTGCTGTTAGTATTTCACAGCCAATCATACAGATTTGGATATAGTGTATTCAAATAAAACTGTGAAAGTGTGTGAAATAATTAAGTTTATGAAATATAACCTAAGACTGGAATTTGTACTAATGGAGAAAAAATTCTAACTTTACAGTGTTAGAACACATTCATGTACATACAGGACAATTGAAAATCTGAAATAATAAAATATAATCAAATCAATTAAAACAATACAGAAATAGTAGTTATTAAGTATTAAATGGCAGCACTATTTATTTATTTATTAAGATCAACAACTTTAGCACAAATAAAGATTGTGTCTAGATGTTTTTTGGGGTTTCTCGGTAATTGTTTGTGTCTTTTATTTGTAGAAAATCTGCTGATGACTGGACGTCTATGCAAAAGTGGGATGTGAAGCCGAACTGACTGTGTTCCTCATGGAAGAGGAGTAACGGCTGACAGGAATGGAAGATGTCGGAGGGAAAAGAAGGGGTTTACCAATAAACAAGGTATCAGCCGACACCTATTTAGACCCAAAAACATCTACAGGGAAGCATGGGAGTATCCGGCACTCTAATGAGTTGTAATGCAAAATGCACTTTCTGTCCCAAGACATCTATTCACACCTTAGGCTTTGCTGATGGGTGAAACTCCGTGACCCGCAAATTTTGACTGATCAAATGAGTAACTGAAGAAATAATTTTGCAAACGTGAATCAGTTCCAGAGAATGTTCAAAAATAGTAATTCAGAACACTAAAGTGTGATAAGAAATGATAAGAAACGAAGCAGAATTCAGTTTTTTGAGCATGTGATGTCATAAAATCACCTTTAGAAATGTAAAAATCTTTCTCTTTGTCAAGAAATCAAGTAAGCAAAATCTTCAGTGCTCATATTCCGTCGTGTTTTTGCATGCTTGCATCGTCTGCAAGCATGCAAAAAAGAGAAATTATACTTATTACATGTGTTAAAAGAAAAAGAATAAGGTTTTAATGGTCGCTGATCATGTATAAAATGTTGAAAAACAATATAGATGTGACAGGTCAGGTCTGATAGTGACGTGAGGAAAGTACAGGCTCCGACGGCACTTAAAAAGATGACGATGTACAGAGGGAAGCACTTATTATATTATTGCAGGCTTGCTGACCAAAATAGATTTTATATATATATATATAAAATACAGCTAGTTATTTTAAACAGCTAAACATTTGAAATGTATTAATCAGTTTTGTCAAACTATTAAAACCAGCAATCCAGAAGAGATGTATCAAAAACAGAGGCATTGCACAAAAATGTTGGCTGAACAAATTAGTTACAAATAATACAATATATTTGTTGAAGTGAAAGCAATACATATTTACCTGTATATCTGTATAAATTTGGTATTTCACAGTTTTTAATGATACATTGACTAAACTGACACTAAACGAGGATTAAAATGCTTAGTATGTATTTTATCTGACATTTAGCTGTTCTTCTTTAGTAATGCAAAAACCTCCATTAAAAATAAGACAAACAACTTAGTAGAAACTAGTTTCATACTAATCATATGGAAAGTAACAGAAACCAGTGAACTAATCTGCATTGTCACTCAGTTTCACCCTAGACTTTAAGGTAGAATGCCCATTTTTAAGCCGTTACATGAGTTTTTAAAGGCTTGTGTGAGTCGTGTGTATTTTTTTGTTTGTATATGAATGTAGAGCCAGCAGACTGAGCAGACTGACATATAACCACATTAGACGTACAAGCACGTAACCTCGGACAGTAGTACTTGACGCACTAGAATATTATATATATATATATATATATATATATATATATATATAACATTTTCCATTATCATTATTCAGATATTCAGACATTATTCAGATTATCATTAGGTTTTTATATATATATTTATATATATATGACAATACTAATTGTCATTATTCTGTTTGATCTGATATTGATACTTAACGTACTATATATTGTACCCATTAACTAGTATGTACTGAGAGAAGTATGGAGGGTCTCAGGAAACACATTTGACCATAGTGACATTGTTTTTATGACTGTCATGAGCAGATTTTCATTGAGCAGGCCAGATCTCTGTGTGTGTGTGTGTGTATCCAGTGCCCACATATGTGAGATGTGTTGCTAGTGTCATATGTTTGCATACCCACACAAAATGCACTGGGAATGTGTGTGCAAGTGTCAGAATGCTTTGTGGATTGTGGATGTGTGTGTAAGATGTCTCGTGTGTGTATGTATACGTCTGTTAGAGAATGTAAAGGCAGATGTGTGTGTTTCATCAGTGGGAGATGGAGTGTGTGATTGTGTATCAGCAAGAATGCATAAGAAATGTGTGTGTTTGTGTTAGTTTAATGTGTCTGTGTGTGTAAAACTTTATCTGTTTAAAAGTATGCATACATGTGTGTATAAGTTGCGGTGTGTGTATGCAAATATACCATGGTAAAGTGATGTGTGCACCAAAATGAGCGCAAAAGGAATGTGTGTGTGTGTGTAAGTATTAAAGAATGCATTATTTTAATACATTTACGTGTGTATCAAATATCTTGTGCACATTTATGCATATACAGTATATTGTGTAAATGTTCAAGAATACGACAGATAAAGTGAGTGTGTGTGAGTCTATGTGCACATTTGTGTGTGTATGTATATGTCTGTTAGAGAATGTAAAGGCAGATGTGTGTGTTTCATCAGTGGGAGATGGAGTATGTGATTGTGTATCAGCAAGAATGCATAAGAAATGTGTGTGTTTGTGTTAGTTTAATGTGTCTGTGTGTGTAAAACTTTATCTGTTTAAAAGTATGCATACATGTGTGTATAAGTTGCGGTGTGTGTATGCAAATATACCATGGTAAAGTGATGTGTGCACCAAAATGAGCGCAAAAGGAATGTGTGTGTGTGTGTAAGTATTAAAGAATGCATTATTTTAATACATTTACATGTGTAGCAAATATCTTGTGCACATTTATGCATATATATTGTGTAAATCTTCAAGAATATGACAGATAAAGCGTGTGTGTGAGTCTGTGTGTGTATTAATGTGAATGCATGGTTATGTGTATGTGTCAGAATGCTTTGTATTATTATTTTAAGGTGAGTGTGTGTTTATACGTTCGAATTCATGCACAGATATGTATGTATAGGTGAGAGTGTGTGTGTGTGTGCGTGTGTTAGATAACGACTGTAGCATGTTCATTTTGGCCATTTTTACAGACGGTGTGTGTGTGTGTAAAAATTGCTTGTGAGTGTATATCAGAAATCTTTGTATCATTATCACAAGTCCTCTATGTGTGTGTGCAAAATGTTTTGTGTGAATAAGAACGTACATATGATTGAGTGTGTGTTTTTTTTCAATTGTACTGACAATATAAGTGTTTGTGCTTATTTACGTACCTAGAAGAGCGCACATGGATGTGTGTGTTTGTGTTGTAAGGCTTTATGTGATTGTTTCGAGGCCCTAATCGCTTGTGCGTGAATGCATGCATATATGAGTGTGTAGATGCGAGTGTGTGTGTAAATATGCACAGAATGCTTGTGTATGATTGTTTGCGCACATGTAGAGAGCTGGATGTGTGTGTACGTTAGTGAGCACATGGCCGAGAGGTTGTGAAACATATGCGTGAGCTTTGAGAAAGAGACGGCAGGCCAGATGAGCCGAAGACGTGCAGTTATAAAGTCCTGTATAATGTATGTATAGGTGAGAGTGTGTGTGTGTGTGCGTGTGTTAGATAACGACTGTAGCATGTTCATTTTGGCCATTTTTACAGACGGTGTGTGTGTGTGTGTGTGTGTGTGTGAAGTTGTGTACAAACAAAAATTGCTTGTGAGTGTATATCAGAAATCTTTGTATCATTATCACAAGTCCTTTATGTGTGTGTGCAAAATGTTTTGTGTGAATAAGAACGTACATATGATTGAGTGTGTGTTTTTTTCAATTGTACTGACAATATAAGTGTTTGTGCTTATTTACGTACCTAGAAGAGCGCACATGGATGTGTGTGTTTGTGTTGTAAGGCTTTATGTGATTGTTTCGAGGCCCTAATCGCTTGTGCGTGAATGCATGCATAAATGAGTGTGTAAATGTGAGTGTGTGTGTAAATATGCACAGAATGCTTGTGTATGATTGTTTGCGCACATGTAGAGAGCTGGATGTGTGTGTACGTTAGTGAGCACATGGCCGAGAGGTTGTGAAACATATGCGTGAGCTTTGAGAAAGAGACGGCAGGCCAGATGAGCCGAAGACGTGCAGTTATAAAGTCCTGTATAATTTAGTTACATTTATATTTATTAGATTTTATATTTCAAATGCAATTTACACATCTTACATTTAAGTGTTTAGTAAGCAAACATGCGTACTTTACAAGTAAATTTGCTACATGTAAGCTTCTTTTATTAAATAAAATGACGCTGAATAATTTTAAGCATTGTAATTTTAAATTACTTAAATTATTAATTTGTAAAGAAAGGAACTAACATAGACTTTTAAATCACTGGCATTTGTACAGATGTGATTAAAATGAAAAGGCTGTTTGAAATCTAATAAAATCTATGAGATGAACAAGGATGAAAGTGGACATGATACATGTGGATGTGCATGAAGAAATATGACATCTGACTGTATTTGCATCTGTGGTGACAGAAGCATGTGTGACAATGTTTGTGAGCAGAAAAAAATATACAGTATATTGTTGAAGAAAACACCATAAACAAATATTTATATTGCTGTAAACGATCCTAAATCTCTAAAATACAGATTTATGTTACTTTAGTAGTTCACAGCAGTTTTGCTTCAAAATATATTAATTTGAACAAATTATGTATTGTAGATGTTTAAGAAAGGAACTAACATAGACTTTTAAATCACTGGCATTTGTACAGATGTGATTAAAATGAAAAGGCTGTTTGAAATCTAATAAAATCTATGAGATGAACAAGGATGAAAGTGGACATGATACATGTGGATGTGCATGAAGAAATATGACATCTGACTGTATTTGCATCTGTGGTGACAGAAGCATGTGTGACAATGTTTGTGAGCAGAAAAAAATATACAGTATATTGTTGAAGAAAACACCATAAACAAATATTTATATTGCTGTAAACGATCCTAAATCACTACTGATGGATAAAATCATAAATCTTCATCTGTTTTTGCATGCTTTCTCTTTCAAACCCCGTCTAGCGTGGCAAAGGCCTCAGCCGTGAGAATACCGTGGTGAAGTCCTAGGGTTAATCATCTGATCCACAACATTCACATGTCAGAGGGAAAAATTCAAAGGTATGTGGCATTTTTTCGGTGTCTGTATATATTTTTTTCTTTGCCAGGTAATGTGACCTGCATCAAGCTGACAGTATAGCCTATGAATGTGCCTATATATATGTTATAGAGAAAAATAATAATTTTCAGTTTATAAATGTACTATAAACTGTTGGATAAAATATTATATTTTATGAACGAGCAGTAGTTGTGATAAAAACTTGAAATATGTGTTTTAAAAATGTATTTTAGTGCAATATAATGCCATCAATGGTTTTTTTTAGATGATACATAAATGATGCATGATTGAGAGGATATTACCTTAATAAACATTAAAACATGCCTTCTTTTTTCCCCCAATAGGATGAAAATCTGGGAAAACTTTACCTTGTATCCTGCACACAAGATCAACGTCTGTTAGACTGCTTTACACCTGTAAATGGATATTCAGCAAGTTGATAACTTTGTAGGAACAACACAACACCGTCAGGTATTTGCAATATCTGTCTGTAAACTACTTGGGGCTTAATAAATGAGATGATACATAAATGATGCATGATTGAGAGGATATTACCTTAATAAACATTAAAACATGCCTTCTTTTTTTCCCCCAATAGGATGAAAATCTGGGAAAACTTTACCTTGTATCCTGCACACAAGATCAACGTCTGTTAGACTGCTTTACACCTGTAAATGGATATTCAGCAAGTTGATAACTTTGTAGGAACAACACAACACCGTCAGGTATTTGCAATATCTGTCTGTAAACTACTTGGGGCTTAATAAATGAGCTTAACTTGCTTACGTTGTCACGTGCAGACGTCTGTAACGTCTGAGACGCATGAGCTGTGAGACGTAAGGGAATATGAAAATGATGTAGTACGTATTTAAGCTTTAAAAAAATAAATGTAAAAACCATGTGTAGATACATTTGTAGTAATTATTCACCTGAATGAGAGAAACTGTGTAGAGACGAGATGCACCCGAGCGTTTGTGTTGAGTTGTGTTGTTTTAATTCTCAAAGACGTGAGGGCAAACGCAGTCTGATTTGATCGTATTTGTTCTAATTAAATAATAGCCTATATGTAGCTTGAAATGGAGTTGTTGTGACTGTGATAATAAGAACGTGTGCGTAGCGAACGTAGGAAACGACTGCGTCTGTAGACGTGTGTGACAATTACAGACGCGAGTTCTTTTAGCTTGTGGTGCTTTATAATTGTGAGGGTTACATATTTGTGAGATCCTAATAGTTTGTTTAAAATGTCATATGAAGCTGTAGACAGTTGAACGGAGAGTTTTAGCTGCCAGGCGCTGGCTGTCCTCTGCATGTGCTGCTGCTGATGTATCACTCACACGGCCGGCTGAGCTTAGAACTAAAGATGATGCTGTTTTTATACGTTCTTTCGCGAGATATGTTTATTATATTGTATACATGTAATTAGGTTTCATAACTAGTGTTTAGGGAGCATTTTGAGCACAGTAAATGTGAAATATGAGTTGTTGGAATTACCAAAGGGTCAAAGGGGGCTGGGGTAGCCTAGTGCAGAAAGGGGGAGAGATACATATGTTTAAATTAAAGAATAAAGATTATAGGCGTCGAGTTATTCTTAAGATGTCTGTGGTAGATCAGTGAGCGTCGAGGACTGAAAGCTGGAATGTATAATGTGTTACGTGAGAGGAAACGTGTGTGTCTGTGTGTGTGTGTGAGAGAGAGAGAGAGTGTGTGTGTGTGTGTGTCTGATCTCGAAAATGTTATGTTTTAAGGTTTGTCTAAGTAAAAGATAATTAAGTAAAATATCTACATTTCGCATCAGTTATTAAAGTATTATTTTGTAGTATAATAATACAAAAAATAACAGTTAGTGCACTGTTTGATTATTTGTGCCTTACGTGTCTTTTCTTTTTATTGCTTTATAAGTATAATATTTGTATGCTTTGCTGTTATTGTTTATCATATAACCCTGTGTGCTTAACATCTGAGCTGAATTGAGTCAAATGAGTAGCAGTGTGCACAACGTAAGGACATAACGTGTGAGTTCTGCACTTCTGTGTCATTCTGTATAAGTGCCCTGAGAAAAACATGCTGCATTAACTATTCGATCCTGAGTAATTGTTTAGCTGTTTTATTACATGAAACAAGCTGTACATGTGGTGTGAGAAATATATGGTGTGATTTCGTTGCAAAATCTAAAAGCTTTGTCGTTCACGTGACAAAGTTATGAATCACGTATGTTGTTGTTATCAAACTGCTTGCTTTCTGTATTCCCTATCCCATGTTAGAGAAAATAAAATGTTTGTTGTTAATGTGCTTAACATCTGAGCTGAATTGAGTCAAATGAGTAGCAGTGTGCACAACGTAAGGACATAACGTGTGAGTTCTGCACTTCTGTGTCATTCTGTATAGTGCCCTGAGAAAAACATGCTGCATTAACTATTCGATCCTGAGTAATTGTTTAGCTGTTTTATTACATGAAACAAGCTGTACATGTGGTGTGAGAAATATATGGTGTGATTTCGTTGCAAAATCTAAAAGCTTTGTCGTTCACGTGACAAAGTTATGAATCACGTATGTTGTTGTTATCAAACTGCTTGCTTTCTGTATTCCCTATCCCATGTTAGAGAAAATAAAATGTTTGTTGTTATTTTAGAGTCTGCTTGCTTATTTGTCTGTTTTAAGTGTGGGGAAATCTGGAAAATTCACACTATTTTGTGACATATTGAAAACGTTTTGTGTGTGTTAAGAGACTTACGGATACAAAAAAAAGACAAAAAGTAGCATGAGGGGGCAATACATAGAGAAAAGGGCTTCCACGGTGAGAGTATCTTACAATTAAAAATACAGACATTCAAATGTTTTTTCATGACGACTCCAATGCTTTTTTTCTACTAAACAGTGTGTGGTTTACATGCTGCATGTGTTACTTCAATTGTTCACGTATCGGTGGGCTTATATTTTAGGTTAAGTTTCGGGTCGTGAGTGAGGCGAATGGCGACAGTGGACATGGATGTGTTGGAGTGAGCCAGTATGAGTGCTAGTCTGACTGAATGTCAAGCTGACAAGCTAGGCACGAGCCAAGAGCAAAACATCCGACTGATGCGAGTTTCGCCGCTTACAACACTCGCGTGTCGCTTTCGTACCTGCATGCATGTGTAAGTCGATTAAAAATGCGTTTCACAACAGTTTACGCTGTATTTTCACATGTTGCTCAGCTGCATATCTACTACGTGCCTATGTGTTTACATAACCATCCTCTCTTCCGCGTTATTTGCGCCGAGAGTTCTCGCGATATTTCGGCGCAGCGCTGTGTGGTAATTGTAGTTCCATTTGTGAGGATGTTCACCGTTTGAATGAATAGAAATAATAAGCTTGTCTACATTATAAAATAAGCAGAGTTTGCCAAAATAACGCTGTTCAAATCATCTTATCTTAGGCTATATACACTATTCACGATGTAAAATATGCATTGCTTCCCATCCAATGACGTATCGCTTGTTACTATGTAGAACTGGTGGATTTTTATTGGTGCTTATGTATTAATTATAATTATAATTAATTGTGTTATAGAAACACTGCGTCCCCAACACACCCACAAACGTGTAAAAATGCTGTCAAATATGACTCATGATGCAAGGTTAATTAATATCATGTAATTTTGGCTTAGTTTTTGCTTGGTTATGTGTATATTCATAATATACAGCAAAGCATTTATGCACTATATGACTCTGTATGTATCTATGTATGTATAAATACGATGTCTTTGCAATATTCAAAATACATGAATGGTTTTTATTTTGTGTCTCACACTGTGAAAACAAGCGGGATGTGTGTTCACGCGGTTTTCTTTTATTCACGAACGTTTTATGTGCTTTTGGAAACGCAAACATGGTCAGGAAAATGGAAAATTGACTCATACATGTGCCTATTGAGCTAAAATGCAGCAAATAAGCTTGCCCGTCTTTTTTCCCCCAAAGTATGACTCATTGGTGTGACAGCGCCGGTGAATGAATGTGACTGGCGTTCATGTCGACAAATAGACTCTCACTGCCTGCTCAGCAGGGGCGGGACAACAGGAGCCCTTGTGGCCAATGAGCAACAAACTTCATTCATAAAATAGTGTGGGGGGGTGATCGTTGGAAGCGTGGGTTTGGAGGTTTCGTAACCCTGACTGAAACAGAAAAACCCGTTCTGAATCACAACCAATGACATTATTTGAATGGAGGTTACCGTAATGTTTGTCCAATCGCTTCTCACTCAGAAGAGTTTTCGGTCCCGCCCCATTGAAACAGGCAACCGAATGAATGAGAATGGGCTCTTTGTGATTGACGCGCACAACAGCCAATCAACGGTAAGTTGCGGTTGACGGACGCGAGTTTCGGCCAATCAACGATGGACGTGGGCTCGCATGGGCGGCGACGGAGTATGTGGGAGGTGTGCACTTAAATCTGGATAGACTAGTATGTTAGAGGAGTTGTAGGGGTGTGATGCCACAACCTGCTTATAAAGGGGCGCACACATTGAAGCTCTAAAGCAGTGCATAACGACTAATTTTGCAGGTCATTCACCACGCACAGCCAGCCGTAGACATGGAGTCGCTACAGCCTGTCGAGAGAGCGCTCTTCTGGGTCGGTGCACTTATCACGGCCTCGCTGGCGCTGTGGCTGCTGTACAAGATCATCACTGGCTTTAGGATATGGGTGCTGGGAAACGGGGATTTACTCTCTCCCAAATTGGGGAAATGGGCAGGTAAGTTGAACGACATGCGTTGGGAATGAGAGCTGGTGCTGGCAGGACATGGGTGGGATGAATATAGTGCGCGTTTGGCGCAGCCTTAAACTAAATAAAGATGAACTTCGTGGATTTGGAGGGGAGGGGGTAATAATTTCAACTTTTTGCGCAGCAGATGTAACGTTAATTGAAAACGTTTTTGTCAGCGTTTACTAAGAGCGAATGTTTGCATCACTCACACACATTTGTAATCGTTAAGATCAAGCAGACTAATTGAGGCATTAGTATTTCATGCGTATGGTCAATGGAGGCGACGTGTCTCAGGTTGACTGATTGCGCCATACGTTCATATATTCTGCGCAGATAGCATGCCACTCTGAGTCATTCAGGTATTTCAGCCTGACATTTTTAAATACGATATATTCGGTTAAATATATGAAAATAGACTAATTGGATTAAAGTTTAGAGTTATAAATCATTCTCAAACGCTTATTTTCTTTTTATTATTATTGTTGTTATTATGCAACCTTTTTTCGGGTGTTTATCATTTTTCGCATTTCAAGTTTTTCCTGAATCGTATGTGCCTCTGGCCTGACCCAGTTATCCAGTTTCCCGGCTGCGCTTGCCAATGTGCGTCCCGACAAACGCGCTTTTCCCCGTCGCTTTGGCAGTTTCGTGGGTAAAATGCGGCTTAGTCTTTAAGTAGATGTCTTTTTGGCCGGTGTTGTCCGCTTCATCCCCTCACTGGGGCACTGAGGTTGGTTTTGGCAACATGACGCAGTTTAAAACGCCAATCTTAATTATAATGCGGGTCCATACCACGTGCGGCATGTGAGGGGAGACTTGTGTGTGTGAGTAAATGTTCAAAAGCCTCACGTACAGCGCGAAGATTTGCTCTTGACGCAATCGCACTTAAAATACTGTTACTTCAAAACTCGTCTCACTGAAATGGCTCATCATGCCTAGTCTTTCACTGCCTAGGATGTTGCCTAGGCAGCAGGTGCACTGTTCTAGGCCCCTAGCGGTCAGCTTGGGTAGCGCACATGCAAAGCGATTTGAGGGTCGCAGTATTTTCTGTGGAGTGCGATGATTTTATTTGTTTAAAATAAAATGTATTTATAAAAAATGGGTTGGAAGGCATCGCCGCTTAAAAGGTTTGAACTGACTACCCTTTAGGTTTTTGGGTTATTTTCACCTGTTAATAAAGTGTTCATATTTCACTTCAAAAAGAAGCAATTATATTGTGAGTAAAAGCGACCATTTTTTCCACCTCGAAGCCAATATTAACCCTTTAACTGTCACCCGTCCCCTCTGTGGGACGCCTAAGTTTACTTCACTATATTACAATTAAATCCTAATCTAATCATGACAAACTATATATCGTTGGAAAGCAATACTGTTACTTCAAAACTCGTCTCACTGAAATGGCTCATCATGCCTAGTCTTTCACTGCCTAGGATGTTGCCTAGGCAGCAGGTGCACTGTTCTAGGCCCCTAGCGGTCAGCTTGGGTAGCGCACATGCAAAGCGATTTGAGGGTCGCAGTATTTTCTGTAGAGTGCGATGATTTTATTTGTTTAAAATAAAATGTATTTATAAAAAATGGGTTGGAAGGCATCGCCGCTTAAAAGGTTTGAACTGACTACCCTTTAGGTTTTTGGGTTATTTTCACCTGTTAATAAAGTGTTCATATTTCACTTCAAAAAGAAGCAATTATATTGTGAGTAAAAGCGACCATTTTTTCCACCTCGAAGCCAATATTAACCCTTTAACTGTCACCCGTCCCCTCTGTGGGACGCCTAAGTTTACTTCACTATATTACAATTAAATCCTAATCTAATCATGACAAACTATATATCGTTGGAAAGGTCTAAGACTCCTAAATAGATATTTTACCAATGTTTTTGTAAAAAATTATGTAGGAAAAGTAATAGATTCATTTTTGACGAGTGCACCTCAAAAATCTACATAACAGGAGTTCTAGCCTTCGTCAAAAAAAAAGTCGTCGTTGTTGCCTTTTTCTCTATCACACTTTAGAAATCATCAGAAATTATATATCAGTTGAAAACTTTAAATCTCAAAATTCATCCTTTGAAACCCATTTTAAAATCAAACATTGCATTACCATGAAAATGGTACATCAATATCATGTTACAAAATGTATTAAATCCTAATCTAATCATGACAAACTATATATCGTTGGAAAGGTCTAAGACTCCTAAATAGATATTTTACCAATGTTTTTGTAAAAAATTATGTAGGAAAAGTAATAGATTCATTTTTGACGAGTGCACCTCAAAAATCTACATAACAGGAGTTCTAGCCTTCGTCAAAAAAAAAGTCGTCGTTGTTGCCTTTTTCTCTATCACACTTTAGAAATCCTCAGAAATTATATATCAGTTGAAAACTTTAAATCTCAAAATTCATCCTTTGAAACCCATTTTAAAATCAAACATTGCATTACCATGAAAATGGTACATCAATATCATGTTTCAAAATGTTTTCGTTAATGAATTATAAAAATTTAAGTTTTGGATCGTGCACTTTCACGTCTGTTCAAAAATGTGAGCGACAGTTAAGGGGTTAACTATTTAACTGTTTGATATGCTTCATACAGCCAGTTACATCATCTGTGAAGAATGTTGTTCTGAATGCATATCAAAGGTGGCTATTATTACCACATTTAGCGCCATTTATCGATAAAAACGATGTTTAAGAACCAATTAAATGTAAAAGTGGAAAATATTGGTAAATATTAATGACCAAACCAATTATAGGTCTTTTTAGAGCTCTAATTTTGCATTTTTATTGATAATTATTGGATATTTTCCCACTATGACATTATTTTTCAAGACAAACATATTTTGCCAACCTACTCCTATTACATTTAATATAAATTGACATTTTATTTTAACATTTATTTTGCTTTCCAATTATACACACAAACACACACACAAAATAAATGGTCAAGTAAAATATCAGTAGAAAAAAAACATACATGTATGTGTATGTATAAATGTCCTCCCAATCCTCTTGAATTAACCCTAAATGATCAAATACAGGTATAAACGCAATTCAAATTCGGGGAAATTGTGGAGTGAAATATGGCCTGCACATTTTCCCAGCAGGTTTCGCAAGAATCACCCCTTTGCTCACTAGACGCCACCACTCCCTTTCACATTTTGAGCTGTTTCCTTCATACATTCTGTCAGTGTGATGTCAAATATGGAGGTGATGAATGCCACTCCCTGAAACTAAAAAAGCAGGGTACCAGTCAGACTCGTTCAGTTTAACGTGTGCTATCACTCACAGGTTGGAGGTGACTAAATGGAGAATGGGAGGGGGAAACTAGCTCCTCTTCCTGCCAATCCAGAAGCACAGGTCTTGTCAGGTTGAGCAAGAGTCTGTTTCCAGATCTCGAAACTCTTTCCACGTCGGTATGAATGTAACTGCTTGTTCCTTGACACGTTTGCAGTCTTCCCCTTCATTTTACAGACTCGTTCATTTGCATGTTGACGGTATGAGGTCACATAAAATGATATTTTTTTTGAAGGTATAATGTGCTGAATTTGCAGTACCTTGAAGGTGAGTCATAAAGAGGAATGTATGAGGAAGAACCCAGAAAAAAGGCCCTGTGGTGTGTTCCTGTAGTAACCAGGCATTCCTCGCCCGAGTCGCTTACGGGAGACCCCTGGTGTCTATCTTGGGAACTGCACCGCTATGGTAAAGGTTGTAAGTCAGTGGTTTAGTTATTGTGCATGATGTTCTTGCAGCAGTAGAAGTACAGGCTTTTTTTAGATCATTGTTATTAGTCAGATGTGGCTTCTCTCTCTCTCTCTGCATTATTAAATTATACATATTACAGAGGAAACCCAGGCAGCGTTCTTTTATAAGGAATCACAGATGTGTTAATGAACAATAGAAGTATTAAACCTTAAATTAATTCTATGACATCACTTTTTTGACAATAAGCATCTGAGGTTCATTATCAGATCTCATTCTGATAATTAATACATGTCTGAGTAGCACATTTCACCTCAAAATGAAAAAGGACATTGTTTATTTTAGAACAATATTTATTTTGCATTATGATATTGCGACAATTAAGCACATATTTCCCCAAAATCTTGTTACAGTAGTGATTTATAAAAAACACATTGTTATTATTATTAATTTCGTTATTTAAATCTAGTATTAAAGCAATAGAATACTTTATTTAGCTTCTCTCTCTCTCTCTCTGCATTATTAAATTATACATATTACAGAGGAAACCCAGGCAGCGTTCTTTTATAAGGAATCACAGATGTGTTAATGAACAATAGAAGTATTAAACCTTAAATTAATTCTATGACATCACTTTTTTGACAATAAGCATCTGAGGTTCATTATCAGATCTCATTCTGATAATTAATACATGTCTGAGTAGCACATTTCACCTCAAAATGAAAAAGGACATTGTTTATTTTAGAACAATATTTATTTTGCATTATGATATTGCGACAATTAAGCACATATTTCCCCAAAATCTTGTTACAGTAGTGATTTATAAAAAACACATTGTTATTATTATTAATTTCGTTATTTAAATCTAGTATTAAAGCAATAGAATACTTTATTTTTAATAAAATATTGTGTATATTAATGTAATGTAATTTGTGCATATTATTCCACCTGAACTGAGAAAATAAATGTATTATTCATTTATGATTATTATAATTCTTTATTTTCGATAATTGCCTCATTTATTTATTTTCATTTTTTATTTAGGGGTGACATATGACTCAGACATGTTCTTGACAGGTTTGGTCACATTCCCTTTTTCACAACACTTAACTTTGAGTGTTGAGGAAGAGACTTCATCAACCCCGCAACATAAATTACATTACGAAGCCACTATCTTTTCCAGTCCGTCAGTGTGTTTCTGTATGGGTTGAGAGAGACTTGTTCTAGTTGTTGGTCCCCTACTAGCAGGTTGAGTTTATGTTGGTAGTTTGTGTCCGGTGCAGTGTACTGTTGGCC